GCTAAACTGTGAGATTACCAAGCCTGTGTCCTCAGTGCACTCCCCAACAAACAAGGTGCCTGGGTAATAAATGCTAGGCAGGAGAAAGGGCCGAACAGTCTCCATTTTCGCTGTCCCCAGTGAATCCTCAGCATCTCTCTGGAATGTGCTAATTCCATCAGTATCCACTCATTGTTAATCCAATGACATCTACACTGGCTCAGCCATGTTCATTGGAACACTAAAGGCTGTTTGCCTAAAGACCTTGCGCTGAGTGACCTGGCCACTGGGTCATGACCTCCTGAGTGTCCATGCCTCCACTACAAGGACATAGGCACATGAGCTCTGACGATGGTGAACGTTGACAAGTGGGAGACGCTTACTGATGGCTGGGACCTGCTGCAGGCTGAGGGAAGATTAGAAAGAAGTGAGCAGAAATGAAAAGCTCAGCTCATCAGGAAGAGGGCCTAAAGGAAATAGAGGCCATTTTCCACCTTCCTGAGCCATTCTCTTCCCCCTCTGCGGAAAATGTAGCAGAGACTGAGTGGGAATCCTGAGCGACAGCAGGCAGAAGGCTGCCGCAACTAAGGTGAAGCAAGACAGGAAGTACGATGGAATTGGGAATACAGGGTTACAATGATGGATTCGGATGAGACAATGGCAGGAGGCCTGAGTACAGCTGAAATGCTAGCATGGAGTAGTTGGGCTGAACAGCACAGAAACTGAATATATATCCTATCGTATTCTTGTTGGAAAGGAATCTGAGACATCCCGGGGTGTTATGACAGGTGCTGTCCTAATATGGGGCTACTTTTTCCTTCCTTGTTTTAAAATGTGAAATAGTTTGATGTCTGAGCAAGTGACCCCAGTGAAAGAAGCCCCTGTCAAGTGTTTAACCTCAAAGTTTGTAGCTTTCTTCTGGAGTATTTCAGTTCCCATCTGCAGTGACACAGAGATCGCTGAGCCTGGACAGAATCCCAGACTCTATCCCGTGGGAAACTCCGGGGCTGACTTTAGCCAAGAAATCCTTTCCCACAGCTCAGAGGCCTCTTGCAAGGACACTGTGGCACAAAGCCAGTGTGTTGAACTCCTTTCTTTTTACTGTGTCACACACCATTGCCCAGGGCTGGAGGCATTCACTGGTCTGTCAGGGCAAACCCTCTGAAATAAAAGAAAGAAGAAAATGAAATTGGAAATGCTAGAAAACAGAAATAAAACAGGGAAAATAAAATCTTCAACTCCAGTCATATTGGGAATATAGGTTATGTTTCAAGTGTAGTCTCTGTGTATGAACTATTTTCAAAGTCAAAGTGGAGTAAGATGTAATAACAACCATTCATTGACATGTTGGGGGAGGGGGAGAACAAGGTGTGTGTTTTTCGAAGATTTTGATATGAAGTCTCCTCTCACATCTTAGACACATCTTGCTATGAGTTTCCACAGCACGAGATCAATCTAGTTTCTGCTCATTTTAGTCCCAGATTGATGTTTTCTATGCTCAAGTTGTTATCTAATTCACTTCTTTTCAAAAAAGAATTAATAGAATCCCTACAGTGTGGAAACAGGCCATTTGGCCCAACAAGTCCACACCAACCCTCTGAGGAGCATACCACCTAGGCTCACCCTCCTACCCTATCCCTGCAGTTCCCATGGCTAATCCACGTAACCTACACATGCCTGGCCACTATCAGCAATTGAGCATGGCCAATCCGCACATCTTTGGACTGTGGGAGGAAACCGGAGCACCCAGAGGAAACCCACGCAGACACGGGGAGAATGTGCAAACTCCACACAGACAGTCGCCCGAGGGTGGATTCGCCCGGGTCCCTGGTGCTGTGAGGCAGCAGTGCTAACCATTGAACCACTGTCCTGCCTTTTTAAAAAAAATATACACTTGGTGCTTCTAAAATAGTAGATGAAGAAGCAGAGAGGGAAAGAATGAATGAATTTATTCTGTCACCAAGTTGTGTTGATAAGTTCACTCGTGTGTGTGTGTGTGTGTGTCTTTTTCTGTCTGCCGGTATTGTATTCTGTCTCTTCTGTCTTTTTCTCACTCTTGCTGTCACACTCCACACTTTTAATCTCATCTTCCTGTTTCTGTCTTTTAATGCCTTTTGCTCACCCGCACTCCTGCTCACCATTCTTTCACGCTCTTCCTATCTTGTGTTCTCTCTCTCTCCCTCTCTTTCTCACTGTTAACTAATAACTGTCTCTCAAGATCCCCTCAGTCTCTCCTGCATTCTCTGATCATTCTGTCCTTTCTGTTTGTCTGGCACTATCTCTGTCACTGTGAGATTGTGGGGACATTAGAAGGTGGGAGGCTTCTTCTTATGAGACTCGGGTCACATTGAACCAGAGTGCTGAGGTTTGCAGGTTTGATGTCACACTCTGGGAACGTGCTGAATAGTTTAACTAATATCAGCCTTGCCTGTTCTAATTAGCACTTACAAACTGTGACTCTTATTCTTTGACAGGATAGTTTCTGCAATAGCTTCTGGATTTTGGATTGTACTGATTTTCTGCCAGGGTGGGTGGGGGTGGAGGTGGCATGGGGAAAGGGTGTTTTGGCTAGATAATGGAAACCTAGAATGAGACAGATCCCTGAAATCGCAGCTATTGGGTTACAAAAAGAATGACTGTATCTTCCAGCAGCTGCAGCAGGATGAGAGGATTACAGACCCTTCTGTTCTTGTGAAGGAATGTGTGTATTTATACAGCACCTTCTCGTTTTTCTGAAACAAATATTTCCCTTTGCATGGGAAAAGAACCCATCTTGAACAGTAGAGATTTGTAAACCACCACGGCAACAGACAGAATGTTGCAGTGCACAGAATGATCCCGCAGACAATAATGAGCTGAACAGTGACTTATTTGTGTCTAGGAGTGTGGCCTAAAGCTGCTGTGAATTTACAATGTTGATGAATCGGGTATATCAGATGCAGGAAATTCCAGGCCCCAGCCCCTGCCTCCCACCCCTCCCACCTCGGCAGAGCAGTGCCTTCACTACTATGCTAAGGGCTTGACCCAGATTGGGCGAGTCATCCCCTAGTTCAGTCTGATCACTGCGGGACCATCCCAAACTCTGCTGGAGAACCTGGTTTCTACAAATCACTTCTTCATAGAATCGCTAGAGTGTGGAAGCAGGCCATTTGGCCCATCAAGCCACACTGACCGTCTGAAGAGCATCTCACCCAGCCCCATTCCCCCTACCTTATCCCTGCAACCCTGCTTTTCCCATGGCTACTCCCATCTGCATATCCTTGGATGTTATGGACAAACTATACGCAAAACCGGCAAAACTGGGGTAATATACAAAATACCATGCAAGGACTATGAGAAACACTACATTGGCCAAACTGGAAGAAAATTGACAATAAGGATACATGAACACCAACTAGCCACCAAGAGACACGACCAATTCCCACTTGTCTCACTACACATGGGCAACGAGGGACACGAATTCAACTGGGACAACACATCCATAATCGCACAAACCATACAGGCACACCAGGGAATTCCTGGAGGCCTGGTATTCCAACTGGAACTCCATCAACAAACACATTGAATTAGACCCTGCGTACAAGCCACTTAGAAACAGAACCGGAAGTAATACCAACCACCCCAGCAAACCGAGGCATATAAATAACAAGTGGGACAGAAATGGATGCTTCACCGAAGGTGCACTGTTGATGTTATCTAGCAGGGTTACAACAATGGGCAATTTAGCATGGCCAAGCCACCTAACCTACACATTTTGGACTGTGGGAGGAAACCAGAGCATCTGGAGGAAACCCATGCAGTCAAGGAGGGAATGTGCAAACTCCACCCAGACAGTTACCTGAGGGTGGAATCGAACCCGGGTCCCTAACACTTTGAGCCAGCAGTGCTAACCACTGAGCCACCCTTTTTTGCTTCAGGAGGTGGGTGGCATGTGACACACTCCATTGTTTTTGAGAGGAACTGGTGGGGCAGTCTTTCTTTCCAGCGCAAGTCTATTTTTATCATTCTCTGTTTTGGTCAGCATTGCCTTTTGTTGTGCTGACCAGTGTCTCTAAATCCGGAGATCACAGATTCAGGTTCCTCTCGAGATATGAGCACAGACCCAGGCTGATGCAGCCTGCGTAGTACGGGGAGAATGCTGCATTGTCAGGGGATGCCGTCTTTTGCATAAGATTGTTAGCTAAGGTCCTGCCTGCCCTCTGGGCGGATGTAAAAAAAAATCCTACAGCGTTATTTGAAAAAGAGCAGCATTGCTGTGCACAAATTGATTATCCCTTAGAGATGCTGATTAGCTGGAAAAACGCTTTGATTTTGTGAGGCTGTGCAAGTTGATATATAAATGCAAGTCCTTCTTTCTAGCCTGTGTGTAGGCTGACCTCTGACTGCAACACTGATCCCTGTCTGTCTTGGCCTGTGAGAAACAAAATTAAAATTCAAGAGGACCCTGATGGGTGAATCCGTCCTTCAAGACCAAATGTATTTTGGCATTGTACTGTTGTTGTTCAGCATTGCCATATGGTGTGGTATTTTGTGTACATGATGCAAAATAGTGCCAATGCACATTTGAAGCAGTGGCTATGGTTTGTCTCTGTAAATGTCTCCTGGTTTCATTAACACTCATTATTCCTCTCAATGCTGGAGGAATCTGCTCATGGTTTCCGTGCAATTGATCTAACCTGCTAAACATATCTTAACAATTCACCGTTATGAACATTAAAAGAAACATTTTGAAGTATGCATTTTTTACAGTGCCTGGAGACCATTTAGCCCTTTATCTGTGTGCTAGGTCTGTATATGATTGGTTCAAACTAATCCCACTGTCAAATTTTCTTCCCGTGTTGTGGGAATCTGCCTAGATTTCAAATATTTATCTAAATACTGAATGGAAAGCTTTACCTCGCTCTAGGAGTAGGGTAATTTTGGGGCCAATGTTGTTTGCCTCTTCTAGACCCTTATGTGCTGTTTTAACCAGTGTTTACTTCCTATTCTGAATGATGTATTTATGTTTTACTTTCTCCTAGATTGCAAGCTATGTCAACCAAACATCAGTGGATGCTTCCATCCTGCAGCGGTCACTGGCCATTCTGGAGAGCATGGTCCTGAACAGCCAAAGCCTCTACAAGAAAGTGGCAGAGGAGATCACTGTGGGGCAGCTCATTGCTCATCTGCAGGTGTAAGTGTTACGCAGCTCACTGCTGAGTCCCAGCTGTGAGTGTCAGACAGCTCCACAGACCTGCATGTGCTTCATTAGACCTTGAAGCCTGAACCAAAAATTGAAACTGTCCTTTTGCTGAAGAGAGTGGGATTGACTCATAGCATTGACCCAGTCTCTTGCTGAATGGGTGAGATTAGTCAGAGGAGAGGGGGGTGTAGACTTACTGATTCTGAACTGATGAAGCAATCTGGTAGAGTTGCCAAGATTCCTGTTTGTCTAATGAGAGAACACTGCCATCTACTGTCACTGTGTGGTCATCATTGCAAACACTTTTGATTTAACTCATTCACTGTTGTCACATGAGAAGGGCAATGAAACAAAATGTGGAATGGGTGTAAAACATTTCCTAGATTCGAATTATAGACTGCAGCACAGACAAGAGGCCATTTGTCCCATTTGTGACCGTGATGATTCTCTGAAGAACACTCCAACTACTTATACCCTGGTTATATATGACGCAGTCAGTCAGACTAACTCTCAATTTTATTCCCTTATTCAGTCATGGGTTGAGGACGTTGCTGACCAGGCAGCATTTACTGTCCATCCCTAATTGCCCAGAGGGCAGTTAAGAGTCAACCATATTGCTGTGGATCTGGAGTCACATGTAGGCCAGACCAGGTAAGGATGGCAGTTTCCTTCCCTAAAGGACATTGGTGAACCAAATGGGTTTTTCCCCACAATCGACAATGGAGTTTATGGTCAACATTAGACTCTTAATTCCAGATATTTATTGAATTCAAATTCCACCGTCTGCCGTGGTGGGATTCGAATCCGGGTCCGCAGAACGTTATCTAGGTCTCTGGATCAGCAGTCCAGCGATAACACCAGTAGGCCATCGCCTCCCCTCCCTCTCAATGGCACCGTTTCAGTTTGAAGGTGGCCTCAGCTTTTACCTCCTCCTGAAACATGTCAGTAAAAGTTTGAGTTGTGCAAAATGCTGCCTAACCCTGTAGTGTCTTTTTCTCAATCCCCTCCCTTTCAGTCTGAGGTGGCAATTGCAGTCAAAGCCGTGATAATAATGCTGGAATCGGAGTCAAAGCCTGTCAGGCCCCTGATGGGGTTGAGGGATAAGATCCTAAACAAAATGGAGAGGCTCAATGTCATCCTTCTAGTACAGAGACCCTCAGCAGAACAGATTAGTTGAATGCCTGTCTATCTGTAAATATTTTGGTCTCTGTACCTGTGCCCGGCAGATTATTCCAAACATGAATCAGCCTTGAGTGACCAAGTTCTTCCTAATATCCAGGGAGGAGCTGACCTCCAGCATGGCTGGAGAATTGGTGCGGCCTTCCCACCAAAGTCCTCTTCCTCCTGATCCTAATAATGAGCTTGGGAATGTTGACCCCACTGCTCAAGACTGATCTCCAGTTTGATGTAGCTGTAGTGTAAGATTTAGAGAAGGATCAAACTCTGTGACGTAGGAAGAGCAATGTACCTCATTAGGGTCAATCAAGTAGAGTGTACAGACATGGTAAATGAAAATGTTATTTCAGAGTACGTCAGTACAGGGGAACCTGAAGCATGTACGTTTGTGTTATGAGAAGTGAGGTTAAAATGGACTATTAGGAAGGCATTTATTCCTCGGGAATCAGAGGATCTTGCAGCACAGAACAAGGCCATTCAGTCTATTGATCCTTAGTGCCGTTGTCCTGCAATGTCCACCTATTCCTTAGTGGAATTCTGAAATAAAAACAGAAAATGCTGGGGACCTGGGTTCAAATCCTGCCATTGTAGATGATGGAAGTTGAATTCAATAGATACTTGTAAAAAAGAACAAACTGGCTCGCTAATGCCCTTTAGGGGATGCAGTCTGGTTAGAATTAGTTTTCACTCCAGTTATAGAAATTAGCTTGCTAGCACGCTTACCTCTAACCCAGGATTTGCACTTCAGCTCCCACTCCATTCAACCTGATGTTTCAGTTTCAGGAAGTACAGTATTGTCTGAAGTGCATCTGGGCTGAAGGGCCTCCTTCTTCTTCTAACAATTCCTTAATTCTTTTGAGTGGAACATTAAATGGAGCTCATCCCTGCCCTTCGTTTATACATGAAAGATCTCATGGCATTGTTTGGAAGAAGAGCAAGTTATTCCTCGTAGTGTCTGGCCCAGCATTTACCCCTTGACCAACACCTCAAACAGATGATCTGCTGATGATCTAAAAATATTGCTGTTTGTTAGTTGCTGCGTAACCTACAATACAACACTGATTCCAATCAGCATAATCTTCATTCCTTGTGGAAGGCTTTGAGACATCCTTGTGTTGTGCACTGTGCCAGATAAACTCCTTGTCTCCACAAGTTTATAGTTGTGAATTCCCGAGCAAGGTGGCTGGATATCTGTCTGTAGTGATCAAGTTGGGTTTTTGTGGTGCCTTGTTAATGTCCCTACCTCTGGGTCAAAGGTTCTGGTTCAAGTCTCACCTCTCTCAGCTGAACAAATTGTTTTAAAATATGTATAGAAATGATAAGAGCACTGTCGGAGCAGTGCTTGTTATTTGTACCCACTGCAATACAGATTCTCTCAGCTGATAATTCTAAATATGTCATTATGCCCACAGATCGAACCAGGAAATCCAGACTTACGCCATTGCACTGATCAATGCTTTATTCCTGAAAGCACCAGAGGATCGTAGGCAGGTCTGTGTCTCTCTTTACCCGTCTGTCTGGGCGTCTCATTTTCTGCCGTACAATCTCCTCCGATCCCTCTTGCAGCTTGCTTTGTAGTCTCACCTGCTTAAAACATTCTGCGTTAGAGTGGCTTTGTTGAATGTCATTAAATGCTATTCTTACTAACTGAGCACTCTGCTGCTCACCACCATCCATAACCTCTTTCCATTCATTGCTACTGTCTGCTTTTTTTTGTCAACTTTGCTTGCAACAGAGCAGCAACTTGCATTTATCTTGTTCCCCCTTAGTGTGGTAAAACATTTCCCGGCACTTTTTAGGAGCTTTCCAGTGTCCTTTCCAGGACACACTGACATCAAGCTGCACAAAATGACTTTAGAGAGGTGAAACAAAACCTAGTCAAAGACTTTAGGTTTTATGGAGCATTTACAAAGAAGGAAAGAGACTGAGTAAAGAAATTTAGAGAATAGATTTCAGACTTAACATCTAGGCAGTGGAAGGCACTTTACTCAGTCAAAGGTGGACTGGAGGACATGGGGAATTGCCAGAAGGGTAAAATTGGATGAATGTCAAGATTTCAGATTCATTTTGACTTGGAAGACATTACAGGCTCAAAGGGGTCAGCTTTTACTGGATTACAGCTCCCACCAGCATACAGTCCTCTCCATCTTCACTAGACAGCTGCTGTTTGCCTGTCAGCCCGTGTGGGTGTAGTCACCTCTGTGTCCTCTTCTACTTTCTTTCATTACCTTCAAATTTCATTATATTATCTCCTGATTTTTAACTTTTCAAAATCCTTCTTCAACTGGAGTGTCTTTATCAGATTCCCACTCAACTTGCTCTGCTCCAATGAAAACATCCTTTTTTCCTATCCCCCTTGTCCGTGGAATAATCTTGTTGAACCTCTCCACAACCTACCCCATAACTTCAGCATTCCTCCTCAATGTTGGATATAGAAAGACCAGAATAAGCAAGAAAAGAAATAATGTGGGATTGTGCTTTTCCCTCGCTATCCCTGACTCTTCACAAGTGACAATTCCCCTTTCTTTCTTTGTTACTTAATTGTGTCCCAAGAGACTGCATTAGAATTTATGCCATTCCCCCCCAATTGTTTTAATTAGATTTTCATCCTCTGAAGCTATAATAAATGCCCATGGTCCTATCAACCCACATTCCCTGACTGCTCACCTCCCCACACACACCCCCATCTCTGTTTGTACTCTTTCCTGTCTATCATTACTAACCTATCTCTTCTTGTTGCTGCTCTAACTCATGCTCTGTGGATACGGCCGGTTGGTGTTGACGCTATTGCTTTGGGGGTCTCTGCTGTCACCGACAGTCTGTCCTTCCCTCCTCAGAAGGGGAGGAATCTGGTCTCGATCTGCCTTTGACAGTAAGTAATGATAAACGCGTGTCATTTCAAACCTTCAATGGGCTGTTACAGAACACGAGTTGTCTTCCTTCCTCAATGCAGCTCTCCAAAACTAGCAGCAAATCACTGCTGTCCTTATTAGGTAACAGATGCAAAAGAACAGGTGGACCTGATAACAACTTGCACTCGTTTAACACAGTAAAAGGTCCAGACGCACTTCACAGGAGCAATCCCAAAGAAGATTTGAGCACAAGCACCATAAAGAGATGTTAGAACAGGTGTTCAAAAGTTTGGTCAAAGAGGTAGGTTTTAAGGAGCATCTTAAATGAGGAGAGCAAGGTAGAGGGTCTAGAGAAAGAATTCCAAAGCTTAGGATTTGTGTAACTGAAGGCACAGTTGCCAGTAGTGAAGCCATTAAAGTCGGGGATCCCCAAAATGCAAAAATTGGAAGAGATTACTTATTTAGGGAATGGCAAGGCTATGAAGGAATTTAAACGTGAGAATGTAAAATTCCTCACAGCACTTGTACAAGTTGGTGTATGGTTAAATAGATGGGTGAGACTGGTTGCAGACTAATATTTAAGCCATGCCCTTGTTTACATCACATGGCAATCATCATTGACCAATCATATGCTTTCACAGGAAAGTCCTAGAAGCAGATGTGGACCCAGCTGAAAAGATGGAATTATCCTTCAAGCAGAGGAAGATTGTCTGAAAGTGTTTAAAATTCTGAGGAGGTTTGACAAGAGTAGCAGCAGAGAAATTGTTTACACGTAGTCATCTAGAAGAAGAATTTTCTCATGTAGCGATCTGCTGTGATTGCAAACACACTGATGGATTGGCAAAAACCGATTCTTCAATAGTAATTTGCAAAGTAGAATTGACTAAGTAATCAAGAGGGAAACTTTTGTCTAGCTGCAGCGTAAGGACCTGGGAGAGGAATGAGTGGGATTGTTAATTTAAAGAGCTACAACAACACGAGGAGCTGTATGGCCGACTGCACATGTTTAGAGGCACATAAATTAAATTGTTACGGCCCACCAGGCTTTGTTGAGCAATTGGCACGTCTGCAGTTCAATGTGTAAGACTATGTGACAACGCCAATACTAGCCAAAACACGTAACATTTTTTATATATCCTGGGGCATAAGAGAGCTATTCCACTGAGGCAAGCTTCACTTAAACTGGAATAAAGCAATAAAATTCAGATGCTGGGAATCTGAAACAAAACCAGAAATTGCTGAAGAAGCCCATTGTATTTAGCAGCATCTATGGAGAGAATGCAGAGTCAGCATTTCGGATCCAGTGACCCTTCATCAGAACAGTTCTAGAAATCCAGAATAAGACAAGACAATTTTCAGAGAGCGGACTTCAATGGAACAAGAACTGAGCTCGACAGGATTGACTGGAACAAGTTGTTGGTGGTAAAACAGTACCTGAAGAATTGTCTATCTTCAAAGAGAATTACGGCCAAGGTATAGTCCATCAAAGGGGAAAGATAGGACAAATCAATCCAGAGCACTTCCACTGACAAAAGAGATAGAAACTGAAGATAAAGGAGAGAAAATTGTTTTTGTGACAGGTGTCAGGTAAAAATACAGTTGAGAACCAAGTAGATGATTGAAGGTTCCAAGGAAAGGTGAAAAAGCATATTAGAGAAGCAAAGAGGGATCACAAGAAAAGACTGGCAGCCAACATCAAGGAAATCCCAAAGTCTTCTATCAGCATATAAATACTAAGAGTGGCAAATGGAAGTGGGAGGGCAGCAATTTGAGACCAAAAAGAGGATTTGCACATAGATGCAGGGGGCACAGCAGAGGTGTTAAAAGAATACTTTGAATCTATCTTTACCGAGGAGGTAGATGCTACCAAAACCCCCGTGACTTTTTCCAGGAGGAAACTCTATCACGAGAAAGGTTTAAAAAATTGATTAGGCAGAAGTGTTAGATGGACTGTTGGTACTTAAAAGTAACAAAATCCCAGGACTGGGTTAGATGCTAAGAATACTAAAGGATGTGAGGGTGGAAGTTGCAGGGGTAGTGACAATAATCTTCAGTCTTCCCTAAAGGCAGGGAAAGTGCCAGAAAACTGGAGAATTGAAAACAATAAAAAATGTATTGTAAGGATAAACCCAGCAATTGCAGACCAGTCAGTTTAACTTCAATATTAAGTAAGCTTCTAGAAACAATTATTAAGGGTAGAATTAGTAATTACATGGAGAAAAGTAGATTGATTAGGAAGAGTCAGCAAGCATTTTTAAAGGGAAAATCGTATTTAACTAACTTGCTGGAGTTTCTTGAAGATGTAAGTGTAATGCTGTTGATATGGTGTACGTGGATTTCCAGAAGGCTTTTGATACAGTGCCACACAACAGACTTGTGAAAAAAGTTATGGCTCGTGGAATAAAAGGGACAGTTGCAATGGGAAGGGAAAAGCGGCTGAGTGATAGGAAACAGAGTAATAGTCAATGGATATTTTTTCATTAGAGGGAGGTATGTGGTGAGTTCCCAGGGGTCTGTATTGGGACCCTTTATTTTACTGATATATATTAAAGTACAGTGGGGAGTTTGAAAGTTTGTGGATGATACAAAACTTGGAAGCATTGAAGATTGTGAGGAGAACAGTGTAAACATTCCAAAGGACATAGAAAAGTTGGTGGAGTGGGTGGATAATGAGCTGAAGAAGTTCAAGGCAAAGAAGTGAGAGGTGATGTGTTTTGGTTGGAAGAACATGGAGAAACAACAAAAAAAAAGTTCATTTCTAACAGGGGTGGAGGAGCACCTGGGTATATATGTGTACGGATCATTGAAAGTGGCAGGACCGGTAAAGAAAGTTAATGAAGCATACAAATTCATGGCTTTATTAATAGGGGTCTACGGTACAAGAACAAAGAGGTGATGTTGAACTTGTAAAAGACAGTTGTTAGTTCTCATCTGGAGTATTGTGCATAGTTCAATTTAGGAAGGATGTGAATGCCTTGCACAGATTTAGAGAATAGTTCCATGGATGAAAGATTTCAATTATGACTATATGGTTGGAGAGATTGAAGTGACAAAGGCCAAGAGGAGATGTGATAGTTTTCAAAATCATGAGAAGGCTGGATAGAGTAAATAGGGAGAAATTACTCTCGCTTTGTAAAAGGATTAGGAACGAGAGAGAAGTTTCAAGTGATTTGCAAGTGAAGTAAATGTAATATGGGAAGAAACATTTTCACAAAGTGAGTAGTTAGAGTCTGGAATGCACTGACTGGAAATGTGGTGAGCCAGGTTCAACTGAGGCATTCAAGTGAGAATTGGATAATTATTAAATGGAGGCAATGTGCAAGTGTATGGGGAAGAGGCAGGAAAATGGCACCAAATCCTCATGTTCATTTGGAAAGCTGGCACAGACATGATGGGCCGAATGACATTCTTATACAAAATAATTCTAGGATTGTCATGACTGTATAAAACTGAAAACATGTGGAATTGGGGACCAATTTCACACATGGGTAGAGAGTTGGTTAAGAGATGGGAAACGGCGGATGGGGATAATAGGTATATACTCTAAGCTGCAGGATGAGCTTAGTGCTCCCCACAGGCCTTTAAGTCTCGCATGTTTTTAAATCATTAGTTGAAGGAATACAGAGCAATCTCTCCACGTTTGATGCTGCAGTCCAGCCAGGCGGTGCAGAAGGCAGGGGGTGTTGAAAAGGGAGATTGACTAGAGTCATTTGATGAGAATGAATTCCATCTGCCCCAATATGGGCAAATGTGAGGTCATCCACATTCACCCCAGTTTGAAGCTAGCTGATTCCACACGCCCCACACCCCCCAACCTGTCTGAAATTTGACATGTCACTCAAACCTGTCCACCTTTGACCCTCGTGAAGTCCGTAAGTTCCAACTTAACCACTTGAGGGCTTTATCCTGCATCCACCACCATTTTAGCTGTAGCTGCAGGAGGCTTTTTTTTGTTGTTTCTCCATGTTCTTCCAACAAAATTCTGCCCATCAGAATTACCACTGCGGCACCCTTCGCTCCAAGATCAGAGTCTCTGCCCTGGTATCTTTCAAACCTGCCCTCTGACATCCCTCTTGCAAGCCTGCAAAAACCCGGCCCGTCCCTCTTGGCTTGGTGTCTGACTCCAGTGACTCTCTTCATTGGGGACGGGCTGTCCTCCCAGCAGTGGTCCCTGTCATGAGCTTGGGACGGGGAGTTCGAATCATAGAGTTCTTTCTACAAAATGGTCTGATTAAACTCCATTTAGTTAATCACCTCAGTCCTAGCTTTGCACTTTGGGAAGAGGCCTTGAAGGTGAAATCAGATTCACCAGAGTGATACTGCAGTTACAAACAGTGAAGCATGAGAAGTTGTAATCTTCTAAGTTTGAATTATCTAAAGTGTACGAGATTATGTAGAGATTTAATTTCAAGCAATGAAGATTATTGAAGGCTCTGATGGAATAGAGGGCAACTGTTTCCTTGAGTGGAAAGTCCAGAACAGTATGGCACGCCTTAAAGTTAGAACTGGATTGCTCGGGGCTCTTGTCAGAGAGAACTTCATTCTTCATAGAATAGAGTTCATAAAATCCCTACAGTGTGGAAACAGGCCATTCGGCCCAACAAGTCCACACTGCTCCTCCGAAGAGCATCCTACCCAGATCCATTCCCTTACCCCAGATTTCCCTTGTCTAACCCACCTCACCTAAACATCCCTGGACACTATGGGCAATTTAACATGGCCAATCCGCCTAATCTGCATAAGTTTGGACTGTGCGAGGAAACCAGAGCACCCAGAGGAAACCCACACAGACACGGGGAGAATGTGCAAACTCCACACAGACAGACGCCCGAGGCTGGAATCGAACCCAGGTCCCTGGCACTATGAGGCAGCATGTGAAAGATAGTGGACATTTGGAACTCGGTCCCACAAAATGCTGTTCAGTCTGGAGCATGAGGAGCAGGCTGAAGGGACTAAATGGCCTCCTCCTGCTCATTTATTATTGCCAGTTCAAGGCAGCCTAAATGCTTACTGATGAATCAAGACCTTTAATTGCAATATAAACAGTTTCCAGTAGGTGGTGTGCTAGTCTGTTCTGAGTGGTGTTGCTGCAAAGGCAGAAGACAGTCTCTGAAATGGAAATTTGGAAAAAGAAGAGTTAACAGGGTATAGAGCTGGATGAACACAGCAGGCCAAGCAGCATCATAGGAGCAGGAAGGCTGACGTTTTCTGATGAAGGGTCTAGGCCCGAAACGTCAGCCTTCCTGCTCCGCTGATGCTGCTTGGCCTGCTGTGTTCATCCAGCTCTACACCTTGTTATCTCAGATTCTCCAGCATCTGCAGTTCCTACTATCTCTAATAGGAAAAAGAAAATGCTCAACAGGTCAGATAGCAACTGAGGACTGATTAACAGAGTTACCGTTTGATGAAAGGATATTAACCTGAAACCTTAACCTTGTTTCTCTCACCTCAGATGCTGCCTAATTTGCTGAGTATTTCCAGAAATTTCTGCTCTTGTATAACTCTTGTTAATGTTAAGGTTCAGTTTCTGAGCCAAGACTGTGTCTGAATCCTGCTGTGTTCCCACAGGAGATGTCCAATATCCTGGCACAGAAGCAGCTGAGGTCCATAATATTAAACGTAAGTACAATAAAGACATAAAATTCTTGAAACATTTGACAGCTTTTTTTGTAAATTAAATTTAAAATCATTTCACCTTCCAAGAAAACCACAGCCTCTCAAACGTGACCGTGTCTGAAGCAAAGGGTGTAATCTTGACTCACAAAGTAATGTGCAGCTTATTTTTGTTTGTGGGAAGGGTAAGTGTTGTGGCTATAGAGCTGGTTCCTAATCCAGGTTTTTTTTAATTCATTCATGGGATGTAGGTATCCCTGGCTGGGCCAGCATACATTGTCCATCCCTGACTGCCATTTGAGAAGGTGGTGGTGAGCTGCCTTCTTGAACTGTTGCAATCATTGGGATATAGATAGACCCACAATGCTGTTAGGGAGGATGTTCCAGGGTTTTGACCCAGTGACTTTGAAGGAAAGATGATATTTCCAAGTCGGGATGATGAGCAATTTGGAGAGGAACTTGCATGTGTGAATTTCCTATTTATCTGCTGCCCTTGTCCTTCTAGATGTAGTTGCTGTGTGTTTGGAAGGTGCAGTCTAATAAGCTTTTGGTTAATTTCTGTTGTGCATCTTGTAGATGGTACTTATTGCTGCTCCTGAGTGTCATTAGTGGAGGGAGTGAATGTTTGTAGATGCAATACCAATCAAGCTGGATGCTTTGTCCTGGATGGTGTCAAACTTCTCAAGTGTTGTTGGAGTTGCGATAATCCAGGCACGTAGAGAATATCCTGAAAAATGACTTGAAGGTGGTGAACAAGCATTGTGAAGTTAGTTACTTGCTGCAGGACTCTGAGCCTTTGACCTGATGTTGTACCCACCGTATTTACTTGGCAAGTCCAGTTTAATGTCCGGTCAATGGCAAGCCACATAATGATGTGAGTGTGAGATTCAGTGATGGTAATGCATTGAATGTCAAGGGGAGATGGTTTCCTCTCTTTTGTTGAAGATGGTCATAGCCTGACATGTGTGGCGTGACTGTCACTTGCCACTTGTCAGCCCAAACCTGGATATTGCCCAGCTCTTGTTGCATTTGAACATGGAGTGTTTCAGTATCTGAGGGGTCATGGATAGCGCTGAACATTATGCAATCATCAGCGAATATCCCCACTTCTGGTCACTGAAGCAGCTGAAGGTGTTTGGGCCTATGACACTATCCTGAGGGACTCCTGCAGAGATGTCCTGGAGCTGAGATGACTGACCTCCAACAACCATGACCATCTTCCTATGTGTCAGGTATGATTCCAGCCAACGGACAGTGCTCCTCCTGATTTCCATTGATTCCAGTTTTGCTAGGGCTCCTTGATTCCACACTCGGTCGAATGCAGCCTTGATGTCAAGAGTTGTCACTCTCAATTCACCTCACCTCTATAATTCAGCTCCTTCGTCCATGTTTGAGCCAAGGCTGTAGTAAGGTCAAGGCTGAGTGACCCTGGCAGAACCCAAAATAAGTGCCAATGAATGGGTTATTGCCAAACAAGAGCCGCTTGATGTCACTGATGGCACCTTCCATCACTTTATTCGTAATTGAGAGTAGACTGATGGGGACTAGCTACTTAAACTGTTTAACATTCAAACAGTCCTGTCTTATAGCTGCACAAGGTTTGTACCTCCTGCTTGGTACTGCTCCTGGCATGTCCTCCTATACTCTTCATTGAACCAGGGTTGATTCCCTTTCTTGATGGTAACGGCTGAGCAGGGAATATGTTTAAATCCTGGTTTGAAAATTTCAATTCAAATTTTAAATAAGAAGCTGGTGTCTGTAAAAGTGACCCTGACACTGATTCAGTATGAAATTTGACTTTTGTTTGAAACATGTTTTGGGCCTATCTATGACTCCAGTCCCCTGCCAACCTGGTTACTTCTTAACCATCCTCTCTGAAGTATTCAGTTGTTTCAAATCTTAGACAACTAGGGAGGGATAATAAATACCCACCTTTCTAGTGACATCCTGAGCGTGAATACATGTTAAAAACGTAACTCCTGGAGTAATGACCATCTTGGCTCTGCTTCCTAAGAGGAATAGAGTTGGCTTTACCAATGTATAGAAACAGTCACAGGCTTCTATCACTTCAACAGTCTTTTCCAAATATATTTGTGCAATGAACATGCTCGTTGTCTTCCTTTTCATAGCACATTATTCGAGGAAACCGTCCAATCAAAACAGAAATGGCCCATCAGCTGTATGTCCTTCAGGTTCTGACCTTTAACCTTCTGGAGGAGCGGATGATGACCAAGATGGACCCACAGGATCAGGTTAGTGATTGGTTTAATTATTAATTAGTTACTTGTCACTCTCCTCCTGCACTTTATTTTTCTGTTTCAGTTTAATGTCTCATCTGATAAACAGCACTCTGAAGGTGTAGCACTTCCTCAGTTCTGCATTGGGTTTCCAATCTGAATTATGAACTGAAGTCCTGGAGTAAGGCTTGAAGCTATAACTTGCTGACAGTGAGACACATGGTGGTATGACCAGGCTGACTTGTGGAGCTCATTGAGTTAAATCGTCTTTTCTTTGCTTTCACACTTCGTTCACCCTCTAACTTGATGTGTCAGAATGTAATATTGTTGCACTGTCTCCTACCCTCATCTCTGTCAATAGGCAGGACTTTAAATGCCGTCATGCTCATCGCTCTAGCTTTCAGGTAATCAGTGTTAGTTGGGAGCTAAGAGTGAATATTCACTGGTGATTCAGGTCTTAGCTTGTCCTCAGTCTGACCAGGATTGTGTCTGACCCTGTCTGACCCTAGAAAGTATGTCTTTCAAAGGGTCATGAATCTGTGGAATTCATACCCAAGTGTGGTGGATGCTGGCACACTGAGTAGATTTGAGAAGATAGACAGATTTTTAATGAGTAATGGGTTGAATGATTATAGAGAGCGGGTAGGAGAGTGGAGTTGAGACTGAGATGAGATCAGCCATGATTGTATCAAATGGTATGGCAGACTCAGGGGGCTGAATTGCCAACCCCTGCTCCTAGTTCTTACGTCCTTATCCTCATTCTGATCCTGATGGGGTCTGTTTGTGTGTGTAGTTGTCATCTTTAAATTTGATTTCATCAGAAGGGTTGCTGGTTACTCAGTCAGGTGAGTACAGTATTCTTGATCTCTGAATCTTAGAATGAGAGAAATTTGCAGCTTGGAAGGAGGCCATTCAGCCCACAGGTAGTCACCAGACTAATTCTACTTCCCAGCTCTTGGTTCACAACCTTTTTAGTTAACAGCACCTCAAGTGCATATCTAACTACTTCTTCAATGATGTGTGTTGCTTTCTGCCTTCCAACAGCCTTTCAGATCGTGGGTTCCAGATCTGCACTACCTTCTGTCTGAAAAGATTTCCCCTCTAACCTCCTAGCCCTTGTCATAAATCCTGGTTATAGACTCCCTCAACCAAGGGGAGTAGGTCCTTCCAATTTAAACTACCTCAGAATTTCATACATCTCAATTAAATCTTAACTAAACTTCCTCTTTTCAATACAAAAAATCTTTGGTCTAGCCCATCTCTCTCTTACAGCTAAAACTCTCCAACGTTCTGATAAATGTACTCTTACCTTGTGTTAGTGTAGTCACACCTTTAGCTGATATGATAGCTGACCATCTGTGTTTCAGAAGTAGGAATGGTATATCCAGATTGGGCATTCATGCTGGTCATTTGTATTGAACTTAATCCTTCCTTACTGTTTGTTGCAGGCTCAAAGGGATATCATATTTGAACTGCGAAGAGTTGCCTTTGATGCTGAATCTGATCCAAACAGCAGCAGCAATCTGGAGAAGCGAAAAGCCATGTATACGAGGGATTATAAAATGCTAGGGTTCGTGGTAGGTCCGGGCTCTGTATTTTCTGATCTGCAGCAATGTGCAACACACCAGAGTAATCCAGAACTCTGTAAAGGGAATTTATAAATAGGGATGTCAGTCATCGCATGATCCTCTAAATTCACTTATCGCTGAAAAGCAAGAATGACTAAATAGAAATTTTCTTTCAATCAACCTGAGAAAATAGAGACTTAGCCTTTGATGCCTGCCCCTGTGCACAGATGCCCTCCCAGTGGGGGCGGGTTACACATGGGTAAACATGGGCAGAGTGTCCCTATGATGCCACTCTCTCAATTCTATGTGCAAATGACCGCTGAGGCATATAGTGAAGGGTCCTGGAATCTTGTTACCAAGGGGAAGCTTTAAAGTGGCAGAAACTCTTGCTCAGATTAGCAAAGAGTTGACACAGTATGCCTTCCAAATCCAGGGCAACAGGGCGTTCCCCCGATCTTCATAGTGGGCAACGTGCTCCATGTAAATAGGAAATGTGCCAGTGTGTGGGTCTGTTGAATCTTGTCCCAGGATCACGTGTGGCTTTCATCCTGTTTCACCTGGCTCTCTACCATTCCAACTGCTAAGGTTTATATTTTACATTGCTGATTTGGTGTAAGAATTTAGCACCTCACTCTCACAGTACTGAGCTGGTGCTGACAGGAGCTGATTCTGACATTTCCTTTCTTCTTCCCCACCTCCAATTTTCTCTTCTTCCAGCCCCGCAGATAGTGTAGGACTCAGTGGTTTGAACAGCCCTAGTGGAATCCTAGTTAGAACCGCCAGTCCCTTCTTACACGGGAGGGAGCAGTATTCCCAATCAAGACTACCCCAGTCCTCTTGCAAGTAAATACTTTCCAGCAGCCTCTCTGGCTCACCAGCTGTTAAGGATTCACTTCCTGGGGCATTAAAGAAACCACAGGACATGCAGCATTTCAGTCTGATAAAAATCTTGGATTAGTTTGAACACACCAGATAGAGGCTTTACTTTCTGTCACTCTTTGTTTGTTTCCAAAGATCAGCAAACTTTTTATTCGCCAGCACCTAGGGATCAGTAGTGTGTCGGTTGATCAATATTCTGGATAATCAAACTCTGACGAAGTGAACCTTTGAGACATCAATGTCCCTCAAAAAAAACTATATAAAAACATCAACACACCCCTTAAAATCAATGTGAAATCACACAGTAAGTAATAGAAATGTAATGCAGGTGTATACACATCACTGTTATACTTTCTTTACAGCTTAAATACTCGGATGTCGTGGTATGAGATAAATATTTTGCCGGTTTATCGAGAGTGGTTGATTAAGGTGCTGATTTAAAACAAAGTTTGCTGCACTATAACTTGCATCACACATTCTAATTCATTTTGAACATCTAACTGTTCTTCAATAGACATACAGAAAGCAATAGATCCACCAGATCGGCCAGCCCCTCCCATACAGCTGTGCTTAAACCTCCCAGCCAATTGGGGAGCCAAAACAAAAAATTCCTTTCCAACGGCTTCTTGTCAATCCAAAATAGTGACAGATCCGCTCTGGCCACAGTTTTGTATTATGTATAACATCTCTTTGTCAAAGATCATTTCCACCCCAGGTCAAACTACTTACAGCTCTCTTGGAGGAATTCAGTGAACTGGCAGCTTGTTCTACATGTGGAAAAGAACCATCTTCTTCCTCATGTTCCCTCAATGTAGCTATCCACAGGTCATGTACAGACTGTGAACAGGTTGGGTCCTTTAAATTCCTGCGCAGAAACAAAATTGAGAGGAACCACGCACTTTAGGAAATTGCCTGTACCCCTGAAATATTATTAATTTGGGTGTCGTTCTTGGCACCTAACTCAGTTCTGCTTTGAGCTGGGAGGCTCAGTTCCAAGTCTCTGAACAGGTTGGTTAGTAAATATCGAACTTGGTTCTGTTACTATATAATCAGAGATTGTGGCCCCTGGTTGTCCCATCTGCTGCTTTTGAGTTTCCTGTGTCTCACCAAATGTGTAAATAACACAGCTTCGTCACTTCTCTCTTGTCTCCACAGAATCATGTCAATCCAGCCATGGATTTTACCCAGACCCCTCCAGGAATGCTAGCACTGGACAACATGCTGTACCTGGCCAAGGTTCACCAGGACACCTATATCCGGGTGAGAGAACACGTGCAATGTCCTTTTGCAGGTTTGAATGCTCCTCCCCAGCATTTTGCTGTTGTATTTTTTTTGGTGCTGGGTACAATTCCACACCTGGCAGCTCAGTTACAGGTTCTCGTGAGTGCTACTTGATGTGGGGATAATATCCAACATCCAACCTCCACTTTCCAAAACCGTCTGCACTACCAGTGCCTCAGCAGACAGCCCTTAGTCCAGAAATACTGAGCAGAACAATCAGGCCTTCTGTTGGAAAATGTGCATATGTCAACATATTGTTTAAATCGAAGAGAGATTGTAGAACTGAGGTATAGAGATCCGAGTGTCCTGGCACATGAATTTCAAAATGTTAGTTATTAGGTAAACCAAGTGGTTAGGAATGTAGTTTGTTGCAAGGGGAATGGAATATAAGGTAGGTGAGTTTTTTACATTTGTACAAGGCATTACTGTGTAAGAAAAGGTGTAATTGTATTAGAAGCAGATCAGAGAGGTTCACCCAACTGATTCCTGCGATGAGGGGTATGATGAGGAAAGTTTGGGAAGGTTGGCCTTATATCCATTTGAGTTTAACATAAGTATTTGGAGCAGCAGTAAGCAATTCAGTCCCTCAAGCCTACACTGCCATTTTATACAATCGTGGCTGATCTCATCATCAGTTGCTGGATGAAAAATAAATCGAGACGCAACTCATGTTGCTGTGTCTACAACACAGCTGGCAGTGAGGTGAAGAATACTTCCAGTGGTGCAGAGCTTCTGGGGAAACATTAATTCCAGCTTCTTCTGACACTGGCGCTGCCTTGACTCTATTGGATGATGTTTCCCCACAGATTGTCCTTGAGAACAGCAGTCGAGAGGATAAACACGAATGTCCCTTTGGCCGCAGTAGCATCGAGCTCACCAAGATGCTGTGCGAGATCCTGCAAGTCGGAGAGCTACGTAAGTCTTGATGTGCAGAATCAACAGATTTATAAAATGCCGGTCTATGCTGCAGTCTTATCAAGTAACCTGCTTATTTATGTAACGCCTTTATCATTAACCGGTAATCCCAAGGCATGTTGCTGCTGCTCAGTGTTGGAAATCTCTCCCTAGCAGTACTTTGAATGTCCCTGCACCAAGCTGTTTGCAGTTGCAGTCACCATCACCTTCTCAAGGGTACTTGGGGGGGATGGGCAATAAATGTTACCCTTGCCAGCAATGCCCACAGCCCAAGAATGTTCTTTCTTTGATTTTAAATAAATAATTGCTTGGTTACACAGAGCCTCGCTAAAAAGAGAACACTGTGCTTTTCTTTCTGAAAGTGGTTTCCTTTTGATTTCAACCCTGATGATTACAAGACAAAAAGATTCATGTTTAGCGATATTTACGTTTTTTAAATTTATGGAACAACCAAAACGGGGTCTCTTCAAACTCTCTGCTAATTTCAGATCACGCTCCTGAGTTTGATGATTCATGCCCCTCAGCCTTCCTGGGCTGACAGGACAGGACTGGGATTTCTATCTCCTGCTCCTGGTGGCCCTTTTCCAAGTCACTACGAGTTGACCCAACTCCCTGAAAACTTAACCCTCTATCTCGTCCATCACTTGGGGTGAATTTTGTTCTCATTCATCTGGACTTCAACCTTGAAATTCGGCAAAGTGCAATGACTATCAAAAGCCTTAGGAAGGTGTAGGTTAGTGGAATGGTAAGGTGTGATTTCATATAATTTCGTTTAAAGCAGTTCATTTTGGGAGGACAAAATGAAGAATGGAATTATAAAGTCTTATCATTTTCTTTGAATGCCCTTTGCACAACACTGCCTTGGTAATTAAAATAGCCACTATTTCAACCAGAGGTTAGTGATTCTACCATTGACAGCACTTCAGTAGAAGGTTCAGCCATTTAGAATTGCTGTTTTGTAGAATCAAGGTCCACAGTTTGGGAAGCTGCTTAAAGAGACTAAGAGAGAAGAATGAAATAAAGAATATTAGGAATCAAAAAATAAGGGTGTGTTTTACAGTCTCTCTAGCCTGCTCCAACATTCTGTAGGATCATGACTGACCTCTCCCATTTACCTGCCTCTCTTACCCCATTAAAAATTTGTTTCCAATTGATCTCCAGCATCACAACTTTAAGAGGAAAAGAGACAGGGAGAGAATTACAGATTTCCACAACTCTTTGGTTCTTCCTCCTGAATGGCTGGGCTCTGATTTTAAGGTTTTTTTGGCTCCTCGTTCTTGATCCCCTCACGGAAAGAAATCTTTCTTCTTCTTCGGTCCAGCCCGAGAGTCATGATCATCATGGACAGGGCAAGGAGACAGATCCTGAATCTACCCTGACCTAGCAGGTTTGAACTCTGTGCAGTTAGCACCAATTTGGTCCATACCTGCCATCCAGCCAACTGGTCTGTAGATTGTAAAAGGAAAGGATGACCAGTAGGATAAGCATAGGCTTAAAGTGTCTTGTGGATTGGGAGAGGGTAGGAATTAATTGACTTTGGGAGCAATGTGAAGCACCTTGCCTTCAATACAATGAAAGTGCAGGAAGATGCAGAGGATTTATGGAAATGATCTGGAATTCAGGAAGAGCATGAGAAGGGAGATTTCTTAGGAGCACTGACTAGCAGAAGAACTAAAACACAGAAAGTGTGGAGAGGAAGAAAGGAAGTTGGAGTTGAGCAAGTTGTATATCAACCATTTTTATAAGCTCGATATGAGGGACTTGCAACATCAGCCCATATTTATTGTTATTTGGGAGTTAGTAACAGGGTAACATTGAATTATTTAAGTTATGTTGGTGTCTAATTGTTGATATTTTGTGGATGCAGCTAATGAGGGCTGCAATGAGTACCATCCCATGTTCTTCACCCATGACCGAGCTTTTGAAGAGTTCTTCTGCATCTGTATCCAGCTACTCAACAAGACATGGAAGGAGATGAGGGCAACATCAGAAGACTTTAACAAGGTGAGAGAATGCTGCCTGTCTAACCCTGGTAGAGAGCTCATTAAATCCAGGCAAAGCAGGAATACTTGGATTATCTTCTGGCAGTAGCTCCAACCCATCCTGCTGTAGGACTTTGTCATAGCATTGAGTTGTTCTGCCCCCTGATACTGGATTTTTTTATCCGATCAGCGATTCATTGTGCCCTGCAACAAGGAAGTATTGAACCCCAACTCAAAGTACTGCTTCTTGTAAGTCTGATTTGTTGAGCATGATACGATTGTACATATAGAATGATTTCAGCATATTGTGAATTAACAAATGGTAAGCAACAGGAAAGTGATTTTGTTTAGTGCATTTAATGTAGTAAAACATCGCAGGGTGCTGCACAGGAGTTTAATCAAAGAAAAATTCATATTGAGCCAGAGATATTAGGACAGGTGGCCAAAAGCTTGGTCAAAATGGGAGCTTTCAAGAAGCATCTTATAGAGAGAAATGGGGAAATTTGAAGTGTAAGGAATGAATGACAGGATTTAGGGTTTGGTATCTAAAGGAGTAGAGCACAGAGCGTAGGAGGTACACAACCAGCTAAGGTTCTTATGTTGTAATGTCACAGTGGTGTCATGATATTATTTTTGGGGTTGGCCGTAAGAACCTACTTTGATTTAAATTGCATACCAATACTTTATTGGGCACTCTGAGATTTGGTACCCCAAAGTGAGTGTGGACCTCAGGAGAAAATCATATCAACAAGAACCATCACCACTGCACAGCTTACATAAATCAGTGTGGGAAGCATTCAGTCAAAAGGCTGTGGGATCAGTTCTTGACCACACTACCCTAAGACGAATACCCTGCTGTAGTACCAAGGGATAGTTACAATGTTGGAAGTGTAGCCGTTCAGATGTGACATTTAACTAAAGCACGATCTGCCCTCTGAGGTGAATATAAATGACCCTGTGCCATTATTTGAAGAAGAGTGGGGGGGTTTCTCCTTGGTGCCCTGAGCAATATTTATCCATTGGTCAACAACATTCAGATAGATTATATGGTAATTGTCATTTTCTGATTGTGCGAGTTGCTGTGCACAATTAGGCTGTAAGACATAGGAGCAGAAATAGGCCAGTCAGCCCATTGATTCTGCTGTGCCATTTAATTAGTTTTTTAAATTCATTAATGGGATGAGGGCATCGCTAGCTAGGCAGCATTTATTGCCCATCCCTAATTGCCCAGAGGGCATTTCAGAGTCAACCACTTTGCTGTGGGCCTGGAGTCACATGTTGGCCAGACCAGGTAAGGATGACAGTTTCCTTCCCTAAAGGACATTAGTGAACCAGATGGGTTTTTACGACAATCGGCAGTGGATTCTTGGCCATCATTAGATTCTTAATTCCAGATTTTTTAAAAATTGAATTCAGATTCCACCATCTGCCATGGCAGGATCCGAACCCAGGTCCCCAGAGTATTATCTGGGTCTCTGGATTATCAGTCCAGCGATAATACCACTAGGCCATTGCCTCCCCAGACGAATCCAATCATCCTCCACTTTCCTGCCTTTTCCCCATAGCCTTCAATTCCCTTACTAATTATAAATCAGTCTATCTAAGCCATGAATATACCACCTGCGGTAACTTCACACGTTGACTACCCTCTCAGAGTAGAAATTCCTCCTTATCTTTGTCTGAAAAGGGCAACACCTCACTCTGAGATTAGGCCTTTCTGGTCCAAGACTCTTCCGCAAGGGGAACAGCCTCAGCATCTATCCTTCAAGCTGCCCAAGAATCTTGGATGTTTCAATAAGGTCTGCTTTCATTGTTCTAAACTCTAGCGAGTACAGTCTCAATCTCCTCAACCTCTCTTCACAAGGAAATCCCTCCGTTCCTGTGATCAATCTAGTTAACCTTCTATGGGCTGCCTCCAGTATCTTTCCTTAGCCCAGGGGACCAAAACTGTTCACTGTATCTTAAGTGTACTTTGTATAGTTTGAGTAAGACTTCCCTTTTTAATACTCCATTTTCTTTGAAATAAAGACCAACGTTCCATTTGCCTTTCCTGTTACCTGCTGACTTGGATACTAGCTTTTTGTGATTTATGCACAAAGATTCAAAAATCCTTCTGTGCTGCAGCTTTCTGCAGTCTTTCTTCATTTAAATAATATATTCGGCTGCTGTATTCTTCTTGCCAAAGTGCATGACCTCTCATTTTCCTACATTATGTTATTGCCCACTCACTTAACCCGTTCATATCCCTCTGTAGGCTTTGCACCATCCTCACTGTTTGCCTGCTCGCTTACTCACTTACACAAACTTGGCGATAGTAAATTTAAAATTGACTTCTTCATTAATGAGTAAGATAAAGGAAAACCCCAAGATGTTTTACCAGTATATAAAGAGCAAAAGAATAGTTAACAGAAAAATGGGACCTATCAAAGAAGATGAAGGGAACTTGTGTGAAGACACAGAGGAAAGAGGAAGAATTTTAAATGAATATTTTGTCTCCATATTCACAAAGGAAGGGGATGATGTGGATATAGTAATCGAAGAGGAGCAGTGTGAAATTTTGGACCAAATAGCCAAAACAAGAAACGAAGTGTTAGGGGAGTTGGAACCTTGAAAGTGAATATGTTGTCAGGCCTGGAAGAATTGTTCCCTAGGATATTGAAGGAGGTCAGGGAGAAAAAGCAGATGCTCTGAGGGATTGTTTTCCAATCTTCAGTGGACACAGGTAAATGCCGGAGGGCTGGAGAATCGCAAATGTTGTTCGATTGTTCAAAAAGGGTACAAAAGAACCACCAACCAATTAAGGGCCAGTTAGTCTTTCTTCAGTGGTGGGCAAGTTGTTAGAATCAATCCTGAGAGATCAGATAAACTGTCACTTAGAAAGGCCTAGAATAGTCAGAGATAGTCAGTATGGCTTTGTTAAGGGAAGGTCATGCCCTAAAAAATTAATTGAATTCTTTGAGGAAGTGATTGAAGGAGGATTGATGAGGGGAGTGCAGTGGATGTTGTCTAGACGAATTTAGTAAGGTATTTGACAAGGTCCCCCATGGCAGTATGGTCACAAAGTAAAAGCCTATGGGTTACAGGGTAATGTGTCGAATTGGATCCAAAGTTTGCTTAGTAACAGGAAATAAAGGGTGATGTTTGATGGCTGCCCTTGTGAAAGGAAAGCTGCTTCAAGTGGTGTTCTGCAGGGCTAGGTGTTGGGACCCCTGCTGTTTGTTTCATACTTTAACGAGTTGGACATAAATGTAGGTGGCACAAATGGAAGATTTGCAGATGACACAAAAATGGGCTGTGTGTAGAGGATAGCTACAAGCTTTAAAATGATATAGATGGGTTGGTGGAGTGGGCAGGAAAGTGGCAGTTGGAGTTCAATTCTGGTAAGTGTGAGGTAATTCATTTAGAGAGGTCAAACAATAAAAGGGAATACACAATAAACAGGAATATACTGAGAGGGGTAGCTAAAATGCGAGGTCTTGGCACGCAAGTGCATAGATCCCTAACAGTAGCATTACAGGTAGATCAGGTTGTAATGAAGACATATGGAATTCTATCCATTATTGGTAGAGGTACAGTATACAAAAGTAGGGATATAATAATGAAAATGTATGAGACACTGGTGAGGCCCCAACTGGAGTATTGTGTGCAGTTCTGGTCACCACATTACCGGAAGAATATAATTGCTGTGGTCAGGGCTGAAGAATTGTAACTGCAAGGAGAGGTTGGGGTTGTTTTCCTTGGAACAGAGAAGGCTGAGGGTTGAAATGATTGAGGTGTACAAAATCATGAGGGATAGAGATAGAGCAGACAGGAGGAACCTGTTTCCCTTGGCAGAGAGTTCAAAAACCAGAGGTCGTGGATTCAAGCCAAGTGGCAGAAGGCTTGGGGGAACGTGGGGAAAATGTTTTTGCACAGAGGTTGGCGGGTGTCTGGAATTCGCTGCCCTATTTGGTAATAGATATAGAGACCCTAAACTCTTTTGACAAGTGCCTGGATCCTCATCTGAAGTGCTGTAAGCTGCAGGGTCATGTCCAAGAAGATGGATGAGAGAGGGCATCTGAGTGTCTTTGGGTCGGCATGGACAAGATGGTCCAAATGTCTCCCTTCTGTTCTGTATCATTTCTGTGCTTCAAAGTTTTCTTCATTATGACTGTGACTAAAATAGTCGTAGGCTGTAAATGTCTCAGAATGTCCTGAGATTGTGAAAGATTTGAGACAGTTTCTGCCCAGCTGTATTTAACTGGACTTACTTCAGAATCAATTCCCGAATGACTGACATCACAAATATCCGGGATTAGAATGTAGTTGAAATGAATTCCTGTGAAGGCTGGGAGCATGATGTGTGAGCTCCCAATTGTTTTAGCAGGAGGATGATTGATCCTCTTTGGCCTCTTGTCTTTGTTGGGTTCCCTTGACAACTCAAAATCACAGGGTAACAGATAATTGCAGGGGACCCAAGGTAGTGATTCTGCTATCAAAGTGGCTGCCAGTCCCCCAGCTGCAACAGTGAGGTTCGTCTCCACTCTTTATAATTATGCCAGCAGCAACATTTGCTCAGAAACTAAACCCTTCCAATACCAACAGTAAGGCTTTTTAATCCCCCTCCTCCAACCTCTATTTCCAATATTTTCCTCTCCCTCCTGCGGTGTGTTTTCACTCTGTCTAATAACTTGCTGAAGAGGTTATTCTGAAACAAGTCTAAACAGTGATGGGTCAAGCATAGAGGACACTTGCAGCAGAGCCTGTGTCTATTCTGACCCATTGGGCATGTTCTAGCGAGCAGCATTTGATACTGATCAGGAAATGGAATCTTGGTTTACAGTTCCTTTCTCCCTCTCTCTGCTCTCAGCCCAAAACCCAAGGGTATTATTCCAACAACCATCTCTTTTCATAACGACCCCCTGCATTTTTACCAAAATTTCCCTTCTTCATCTTTCTTCAAATTCTTATCAGTGATCTTAACCTGACTACTAGTTACTAACGCTTCAGCCATTGGGAATAGTCTTTGTTTTTATTCATTCA